TTTTCTAGAAATAATGAACTTGCATCTGATGAACATTTTAGATATTAGATATAGAATGTGTAAAAGTACACGTATTTTTCAAAAATTATAGAAGGAACTTGAAATATGCTTCAGATTCTCTGGAGATAAATATTGACTTAGTCTTATAATCCCCTTGGGTTTGCCTTTTGCAATACTTGGTGAGTCTTGGACATGGGAGTGGATGTGCAGAAGTTTATTCTGTTTTTGTTGTTTAAAGTTTTGGAGGCAAGAGCAGTATCAACAATTCTGTTGGATAAAGTGAAGTCAAACAGAATCAGGCAGTGGTCAGGAGATTCCCTTATCCAACCTCAGTTAAATACATAAACAGTAAAATCATTTGTTTGTTTCAAGTAAAGCCCCCTCCCCCCCATTTTTTTCTAGTTTAAGCCAAGGCTGTAGAACTGAGGGCCATTTGGTATATGCTCTAGATTGCAGAAGAAAAAGATACAGCAAAGCTTTAGCTGCTCAGAATAAATGTTGTTTAAACTTTATTCCAAGGACTCAATTTTATTAAAAAACTCAACCAAAAAAAAAAATGACCTTATCTCTCAGGGTTCATGGCATTTATAATTCTGAAGTCAGATCCAAAGCATCTGACCTCACATTCCTATTTTACTCTTTGATAGTGATGAACAAAATAGTCCTTAAAAATCAGAGTCAGCTGATATTCAGTAAGGGCATCTGTCAGTACCATAATATTAGACTTGGGCCAGCATTTAAAAATGGGTAATTAGGAATCTGGCTGTTTTTCCTGTGCTGAGGTCCCGGCCAAAATCTCCCCATTGCAGGTGGTCTGTGGGAACTGGGTTCATGAAGGCTTTGATGTGGTTCTATTTATGTCTCTGTGTTAGACAATAACCCTGAAGCCACAGCTCCTGTGACTCTGCCAGACTAGCATCCAAAACAAAGCACAGACCTCGTTTCCAAGGGACCCACCACAATTCCGTATGAGCACAGTGCCCAGAGCCCTAGTTGTCGATGGCCTTATTGTTTGTTTCTGCTATCTGCCTGGCTGCCGGGATGACAGTGGACGGTGTCTGTTTCTCCCTGAAGCCAGAAGGCCAATATGCAGTAGAGGGAGGGGCTAATACACATGCTCTGTACCATTAAATAGAATATTGCTGGTCCTATTAGTCACTGGAGGGCTCCATCGGCAAGGTGGGGGGACAGGGTCCTGTTGATAGGTCTTAGCAATAAAAGTATTGCTGCATTTATATTTACTGGGTTCTAAATATCTCTCCAGTACACTGCATCATTTGATACTTAAAACTATTTTGTGGTATAGGAGAAGTTTGTATTTTTATTCTCATTTTCAGGTGAAAGGAGAAATTTGGAAGGGTTAAGTGATGTGCCTCCAATCACCAGGCCAATAATTAACAGGTCCAAGAACTATTCCTAGCTTTGCCATCTCTCCATCAGCTTCTATTTGATCTTCGATCACCTGCTGTGTGAATTGATAGAATAGTGGCTGTGTAATAGCATTTAAGACTCTCTTCACCAGTACATCTGACCCAGCAACATTCAGACTTCCAGTTGTGGCTACTGCTGTGACATCACCAATTCTACGATACTGATTGTCAGCCATGCAGCATGTCGAGGTCACAGACTTAAAAAATGAAAATCAGAATCTTAGTATGCTTGCCATGTCTATAGGGGTTGGAGGAAGGTGCAGTAAGGCACATATTTTCAGGTGGTTTGGGTTAAGTTTTTAAGGTCTGGATAGCATAAAATTTATAACTGGATCACAGTGTGGTAGCAGTGACTTTTTTACTCAGTTAGAAAATATACCATGCCTGTGATTTTCAAAAAACTATGCTGAATTGTAGAAACCTGTTAAGAAATAGTATGGGCTGCCTGGGTGGCTCAGTCGGTTAAGCGTCCGACTCTTGGTATCAGCTCAGTTCTTGATCTAAGGGTCATGAGTTCAAGCTGTGCATTGGGCTCCACACTAGGCATGGAGCCTACTTGAAAAGAAAAGAAAGGAAGAGAAAAGAAATACTACAAGGACTTCTCTCCAAGAGTTCATAATTCCATTGGAGAGATAATTCATGTGCATATAAAATAACCAGCAACTTAGGGCACCTGTTCATTAATGCTAAGGGGAGGGTCAGGTGGGAAGGCTTATAATTTAGCAGGAGCATCACAGTGAATTGAGGGGATCTTAGAAGACTTGGATTTTCATAGTGGAAGTAAAGTCTGATGCTGTATGTGAAATAGTGGTAGGCATTCTAGATGATGGCTTGAGGATAACAGAGGACAAAAATGGGCAAAAACATGGAAATGAATAGAGCATGTTGGAAATATAATTAAATCCATCCCACTAAACATAAGAATTTATAATAGTGAGGGTTGGGAGATTGATGTACAAATGTTGGGAAGATAAAGGATGGCTCTAAATGCCAGTATGATAGTTGATTCTGTAATCTTGAGGAAAGTAGTTATTTGGGTATTTTGAGACAGACACTGATATGTAAGAAGTAGCTTTTTCCCTGGTGGCTGCGCCCAGGATAGAATGAAGAACCGGGGGGAAACAGACTACCCCGGGAGAAAGAAGTTAGCAAATGGAGCTAACTTTGCCATCTCTCCATCAGCTTCTATTGGATGTCCCGTTGTGAAGTGACCCATCAGTGGGGCCTGAGGGCTGCTGGCTGGGAGGAGCAGGCTGGGGGGACCTGGTCATGCTGCCTCGGGGGTCCCTGGGCAGACACCGCACCCGCTTCAGTATACTTGCTGTTCGCTACAGCTTCCTTCCTCACACACTCACAAATTGTTGCTATGGCCCTAAAGAGAAGCTTTATTCATCTCTCTCTCACCCGGTCCATCAAGAGTGGCCCGAGAGATGATGGTGAACTTGGCAAACACCTCCCGTGTGAATTCATGCCTTCGTACTTGGTTCCATCTTATACCACATAGACCCATATCGAATTGAAAGGGCCGGGCTACCTAACCCTTTGGCCTCCTGACTTTGTGTCCTCTCTGTGAGCCCTTTCTGTCAGGCGGTTCTCACTCCCAGTGCTGGGGGATTGTGGGTTGTTGCTGGACACACAGCAGCGACCACCACCCCTATCCTAATAATTCAGTCCATGTGTGTTTTACAAACAGTGTGTCCTTTCTGTGGAAAACGACAGTATCGTTGACAGAAGGAGGCATTGTTTGGGGGAGAGGTGAGCGTGTTAGGGTCCCCAAGACCACCTGTTTTGAAGATTCGCTAGGATTACTCCTAGGGAATAATTACAGCTGTGATTTATTACAATGAAAGGCTACAAAGCAAAATCAGCAAAGGGACAGGCACATGGGGCAAAGTCTGGAGGAAACCAGGTGCAACCTTCTGAAAGTCCTCTCCTAACAGAGCCACACAGGATGTGCTTAATTCCTCTGATAGGAGTTGTGACAGCACGTGTGAAATATTGTCTACTGGTCTCATTAGAGGCTCAGTGCCCAGAGTTTTTATTGGGGACTGGTTATGTAAGCATGTTCTGCATGGCACATACCCAAATCCCAGACTCTCAAAAGGAAAGCAGGGGTTCAGCATAAACCACACTGTTTGTACCAACATTTTAGGTGCAGTGAGCCTCTCTTAAGTGTTTGGGGAAATTGGGGAACCCTCTTGAAATCTAAGTTTCTAGATGCCAGCCACGGGCCAACCTTGTAAGCAGACCTTGTAAAGGAGAGCGGTCTCCAGCCTGCTGGTTAACTCCTCTGCACTTGGAATGATTGTTGGCACTTCAGTTGCTGAGAAAGGGGTATTGATGGAGCAGTGTTTCAAAATCCAGAGGAATCTGATGTTAAGTCATGTTTCTGGAAGTGAGGTTTGAGTTGGGGACAAAAGAAGAGGATTCAAGGAGGAACTACAGAGCCCAGAGTTCTGAAAGTGGTCCTTGTCTTCTGTCACATGCAGGAGACAAGAGAAGCAGATGGAGAACATGAATGTGTTTTAGGAACCCAAGAGAAGGGAGAGGCTCAAAATGGAGGAAGTGCTCCATTGTACAATGCTACAGATTGGTAGGAATCCTGGGGACTGCAAAAAAGTGCCATTGGGAATTCTTATAGTAATGTGTAAATTGATTTTTTCTTAAAATGATCTGTACACATTAAAACAAGACTTTTCCAGCCAGCACCTTAAAAGCTTCCCTGCCCATTGCATCTTTGTTTTCTTTTGATCACTTTACAAAATCCCTATTTCATTTTTTTTTTGTCATTGTCTTGCATTAGTTTATTTGGGTTTAGATGTCACAGGCAGATAGAAATGGATGAGCTTTGGGAAGGCTAAACAAAATTCTTTGAGTATTACTGCCCACTTCTCTCTGGTAATTATTTAAGGCCAACAGCCGCCAAAAAGCATCTCTTCCGTTCTTGATGGAAAAGTAATTCTGTTTGTTCATTTAAGAGGATTGTGTTTGCTCTTCCATTAATCTCATTGCTGCTTGCTAGTGAAGAATGAAAATTGAGAAAGCTGCTTGTTTTGAGTCCCAAGGGGATGGTGAAAGTGTTTGAATTTCCTACGACACCCTTGGACTCTTCCCAGACCTTGACTTCTAGGTCCTAACTCTGATACTTAATTTCTCTTTTTCTGGGTTCTCAGATGTTAACATTGTGCAGCCCGTCTGAGATGGATGCCCAGCCTTCCAAAGAACCACGTGACCCAATAGCAGCTTTTCCTTTGCTTATAATAAAATCCTATCTGAACCACATTTATTTGGGGGAAAAGAAACAACTCTTTTTGTGGCTGACTTTGAGTAGTTAGTGGCACAGAAAATACTGGTGCCTCCTCTCACGCTCCAGATGATTCAGGAGTGGGAAGTTCTTGGATGGCAGAGGGTGGAGGACGTAAGTGCTGAATGTGGCATTTGCAGGACTTGAGTTACCTTGAGTGGTAGGGCCACTTTGGGCCTTGCTTGCTTCTTTGGACTTCAGGAGGGCAAATGCGTGCTGTGATTGAAGTGGTTTTAAATTCTCTATCTCTTGTCCTAACATCCCAGGGCTTCCAGCAAAAATTCTCCTTCCACAGTAAAGAGATTGTGGCTATCAGCTGTTCCTGGTGCAAGCAGGCGGTAAGTTGGGGGACAAAATGAAACAAAATGGGCTTATGTTTTATCACAGTAGACTTATGTCATTATCCAAGTTGCTGTCTATAAGTGGAAGGTTATTCTAATTTATGTATTATTTCTCTCATGTAGGATCCTTGAGGAAGAAAGATTAAAACTATAGAACTATAGCCTATATGACCTGGCAGAAACTATAGAGATCAGTTAACCCCTTCATTTATATACACTGAAGCCTAGGATCAGAGACTGGGAAATCCTCCCCTGGTTCTAACCTGGGCCTAGAATCAAGGACTTCTCACCCCATAGATTGTATTTCTTCCACTACACTAGATTGTTGATAACTCCTCTATGGTTCAAAGTTGCAACTTTAGATAATCCCTCTAACACCAGAATCCAGCCATGTTGGTTCTTCTGTTTTTGATATGAGTGACTTTCTTACGGTGTGCTGTTGGGGTAAGGAGTGGTCTCGTACCCTTCTTTAGGCTTGGATATTATTACAGCTGTGTGTATATTCATCGAAATGTAACTCTTCTGTACATTTGAGCATATATATTCATTAGGATCCAATGGTAGTTTCCCTGTTTTCCTCTTTTATCTACCCTTTGTCCATTTTTTAACACCTCTCTTCGAACCAGATGGTTCATTTTCTTGTTTGCTTATGCACCTGTTTGTTTGTTTGTTTGTTTGTTTTTAACCAGACAGTGCTAACTCATGGGTTGACAGACTGTGGCCCATAGACCAAATCTGACTGCTGCCTGTTCTTATAAATACCATTTTATTGGAACACAGCCATGCCCATCCATTTATATATTGTCCATGGCTTCTTTCATATTACAACAGCAGAGTTGAGTAGTTACAACAGGGAAAGTATGGCCCCCTTAAAGCTAAACTATTTACTATGTGGGCCTTTTATAGAAAAAGTTTGTGGAGCCTTGCTCTAATCTCTCAGTTCACCTACTTTGTTGAATGACTGTATAACTGGGACATAGAGTCCACTCATTGCGCAGACAGCCTGAAAAAAAAAAGGGCTGTGGTGTTCCAGGTAAGTTAAGGGTTTATAGGAAGACTTCAGCCCTCCTCACACATCAGATTTAACTAGCCAAAACAGCCCATAGGGCAGGAGCAGATACATTTAGTTGAAACACATAAAATTGACATTTTTGTGGGTCAAAAACTTTTGAATTTGGGGAATTTTATAAAGTTTGACCTAATCTCTCTAGCATAATTTCCCTAGGCACCCAAGTATCAGGAGAACCTACTGTTGCTAGGTAGGGATGCATTGGTCTGGAAAGCTCAGTGCTCGCTGTATCCCCATCCTGCCACATTTTCTAGGCATTTCCATCTCCTGTCAGTTAGTTTTTACACAAATAATCTTTGTGCTTCTGTTCAAGAACATGCTCACAAATGTAAGGTCATCCTAGTCCTTGAATGAAACTATACCAGCAAGGCAGTGTATCCACCTGGAGAGAAAGAAGCTAATTCAGGTTCCAGGTGTCCCTGACAGTATCTGTGCTGCTAGTTTCCCTGATCTGTTGAGGCCACACCTGTGGGAGAGCATCATTGGTGGTTTGAGCTCCTATAGACTTCGTCTGCTCCACCCCTGTGCTACCAGGCTGTGATGAGATAGGTTATCCAGGGTCTGTTAATTTGGGAATTCGCTCCCGCTTTACGTGGTGCACATGTTCTCTTGTCATTAATTCATAGTTCAGTTGAATCACATTGTAGGTGATTTTGCAAGAAGTAAAGATACAAAATATCTTAAGACAAATTACATTGGTGATATATTTTAACCCTCCAGGTAATCCCTTCTAGGGTATCTGATGTCAAACAAGTGCTATCTATAGGCACTTTCTGCAGCAGGGGGAAAAAAAATGTGTTCAAGAGCTGGTTTTTTGGGCTTTAGGCTCTGACTCCACCTTGTAAAAGTTAGGCACTTTTGGACATAACTCTTAGTCTGTTTAGATTGGCGATTACTCGGCTATAAGTTGACAATTGAAACGGGTCATCTCGGGGATCTTCACCATTTTAGAAATGCAATCAACATCCATTTAGGGATTTATTTGAATTGCTAAAAGAAAATCAATTTTTGAAGAAGGTAATTCAAATAATATTTTCTAGTATGTCACTGTTTGCAGATCACAAATAACTGGTCATAGGGGAAATTACTGACTTATTTTGCATTCATACCTAATTAGTAATTTGCTATGGGATCTTGTGAGGATAGGCAGAAATGAAGACAAATTCCCTCTGTGACATAATTGGGGTGGCCATATTTGCCAGGTTTCCTGAGACAGACCTAATTTATGTTTGTTGTTCCAACATAATTATTAGCAGTGCTCCCTTTCATTCTTAAAATTGTTCCCATTAAGATGACAATGTATGGTTCCACTAAGTATAATACAGTAGAAACGGATGTTAAAGTTTTTAAAAATCACTGATTAAAACTTTAAGGCCCACAATTATTGTATAATGTGGATTTTGTTTACTAGGAAAAAATTGTTACCACACATCATTATCACTTTACACACAAAAGATGATGGTCACTCAGTCCATTGGTACAGGGCTAAACCACTAATCCTGAGGTATTGTTATGATCATCAGTCTACATTTACTTTCTTCCTTTCAAAAACAGGAAGTCTTTTAGACTTACCAAGTGTAGTTAGGGTCATCGTATTTTTTAGCAGCCCCAGACAAATCCAGCAGAGGCAATTTCTTCGTTACCTCTTGGATTAAGAACTCGCTAGAACAGTCCTGCTGCTTCTTTCCTGGGTTTCCTAAACTAGAGGGACTACCTGGGATGGATTTACACCTATGATTAGAAAAAAGAAGGACAGGTGGGAGAACCTGCCTTTCTGCTTGCCACCATTGCCTCCCCAGCATTATCCCATATCAAGTCTGTGACAAGTGCAAGTCAAGTGCAACAAAATTATAGCCAGGGTTAGGATTAATAGAACCTTTCGAGACCTCGTTATATAAATATCCCATTAAAAGCTTATAAAGTTTTAGCTGGCCTTGACCTACAAGATTGATTTCTTTATCAGTTTGTAAAGTGGAATGAGTTCCAAATCTGGTCTCTCAGTTCTGGGGCTGTTTGGGTGGTGATAAGGAGCATGTGTCTTCCGTGTCTGCAAGGCTGGGTGAGTGCCTGTGTGCGCATGTTTTTAATTCCTTCTTGCTTTAGCGGTGCCCTTGGCCCAGGATTGTTTATTGGCCTATTTTTCTCCTCAGTTTCACAATAAAGTGACCTGCTTCATGCTGCATCACATTGAGGAACCCTGCTCCCTGGGGGCTCATGCTGCTGTTATTGTCCCGCCCACCTGGATCATTAAGGTGAAGAAACCTCAGGTAACTTCTGGGCCCCTGGTGCTGCTGGACCAGTGCAGAGAAAAAGGAACTGCTGCTTCTTGCTTTTCTTGCCCTGACTCTTTTTTTGGGTTCCGAAAATCTCTGCTCTCTCATCCCCACAGCCCCATGCTTAGCTTCCCCAGTTCATTCCATTAGCCCATCACTTTACTGCAGTTGGGCTCTCTCATGGAACCAGCCTCCCTTTCCTGAAGAAATCCAAGTTCCACAGCAGGAATGGTTCCTTCCCCTTTATGTGCTAATGGTACTCACTTTGGGTGTTCTCCTAAGTTCGTTAAAGACTAGTAGTGGGTGCAGCTAATTCTTACACACCTCTCTTCTCTTCCAGCCTGGGCATCCCCAGGGAGTGAAGGTGAGGGCAAACTGTGCAGGCTTCATTGTTTGGTTGAGCTTACCACCACTTCCAACCTGAACGGCAGACTGTGGGTCATGACCTTCCTAAATACACAAGGCCTGCCCAGAGAGCAACACTCTTTTCTTAAGGCAAAGTAGAATTTATCCTCTTAATTCCTAATCTCATTCTGTATTCAATTCTTGTTGTACATTCTGTCCTAGAGCATCTCTGCGATATGCCGGGAAACCATAGTGGTTTCTCAACAAGGTCATAATCTTTGATAGCCAAATTTCTACCTTCGTACCATACATCTTAGACCTTGAGCTCCAAGTTATGGGATGGCAGACTTGTAATGCTATGGTGGGAAAGATGATACCTCTCCTAGAGATGCAGCTACCGTATGATGGCCTATTGAATGTAATACCTTTAAAAGATATGGCAGTCCTACTTTATACGGTCTTCAAAATCATCATGCAGTTTATTCTCACTGACTCAGTTGTATTTAAAAAACTGGTGGATCAAGGACACTGTTTTGCTTTGTGTGTTTTTACATAAAGTTCAGCTTCTGTTGATGAGTAACATTTAGTAATAAGCTTTCCTAGTTAACAGTCCACAAAAGCCCTTGGGAAATCTCTTCCAGAGGCAAATGCAATATCTATACATTAAAAAATGGAGAGCCTAACTTTTTCATCTTTCATTTTAGAGCTGTTAAATGAGTGGCCCAAGGTGATAGCAAGTGTAGTACTGCATTTGAAATTCAAGTACCAATTCCAACTTACCGTTAATTTAAAATCTCTAACCTTTTTACTTCTTTGGTTCCCCAACCCCTAAAATTCAATAATCTCTCTAAGAGTGTTATATTAAATATTCAGTTAAATCAATATGTTTTCACTGAAAACCTTGATGGTAATAAGAAAGCTCCTAGGTACTGTGATGTAATGCATGATGCTTCTTCTGAAGAACTGTGTAGTTTTCTTAAGGAAAGATCAAGGAGAACCTCATGAAGGAGGTGAATTTTACTCTACCTCTTTAAAGATGGGTGGGATTTAGATCGATGGAGAAGAGAGGAAATAGCAGGCAGGAGAATGGCATGAGCAAGGGTGCTGTGTCCAAAATGATATTCATGAAGCTGTGAGACTAGTTTACACTACATGGGTGGTAGTGTATTTCTGTGATGCTGCTTTCAAAGGAATGGGGTAGCAGATTGTTCACTCTTAGTTCTAAGACTGATCAGTGAGTTCGGGAGCTATGCTTCTAATCCATCTATCATAAAGTTGTCCATCAGCCTTTCACCATTTTATCCATTGAAGATTATTACCTAACTCTATTCTATTAGGGGTTATCAAGAGGTGGTTTTCCCAATTTTTACTCTTCTTTATTTTCCTGCTGGTAATAAGGGAACTAAAAAATAAAGCTAATACATGACAGATGCTTGATTATTTACCTTTATTTGTAAATTTTCAGAATAATAAGTTGGTACCTTAGCAACGTTATTAGTTGGCTAAGGGTGGTGGTGGTGGTTTTCAGAGAGTATCATTATGAAGTGTCAACTTACCTTATGTGATATATAAAATATATTTCAATCCATCGGCATCATTTTTTATATTCATATTGTTTTATCTTTGACCAGTTAGACCGCCTTTCAGATGGCTCTTGTCTCCATTTTTCATGAGCCATGAGGGTTTTGATGACTTCCTTGGTTTCAGGAATCATACCATGTTCCAGGATCATCTTATGTATTTCCTGCCTATACCTGGAAGCAGCCATTTCTCTGAGGAATCTTGGTTACTTTTAACGGTGAATGGTATTACAGTTCACAGTCTAGATGCTAAAGTCCATATTGATTTCATCACACACACACACCTTTTTATTGTCCTTCTCTAATTCAGAAAAGTGCACTAATAAGAATAAGAAAAACTAACACATATTGAATGCTTTTATATGTATTAGGAAATATTTTAAGTACTTTACATTCAGTATTTCATTTTACCATCAAGTACCCTCTGAGGGAGGTATCCTATTCCCATGTTGTAGGTGAGGAAAGTGAGAATTAAAGTCAAATAAATTACCTGGGGCCATATAGTTATTAAATAGTTTGAGGTGACATTTGAACCTAGGCATTCTGATTCTGGAAACCAAGTTCTTAATGATATGTCCTGCTGCCTCACTGTCTTACTAAAGCAAGCCTTGTTGAGTCACATATCTTTAAAAATTTTGTAGTCCCTCCTCCTATGGGCCCCAAAAAGAAATAATTTAATAAATTAGTTAAATTCCATTTGAAAGCCAGTATATGATGAGCGTGGGGGACAATACAGTGGTTAGGAGCTCTAGCTTATGAGCCAGACTGCCTAGATCCTTAAACTTGCTCTGCTGTTTAATGACTTGTATAATCTCAAAGAATTTAAACTCTTCAGCTTCTCATCTGCAAAGTGTAAATACTAGTACCTAGTTATAGGGTTTTCATGAGGACTAGTGAACTAAAAAAATAAAAATAAAGCACATAAAACAGCACCTAGCCCATTGTAAAACTCAAAGGTTAGCTCTTGTTATTTTCCTTGTTGAGTACAGGGTATCAAATGAAGTTCTACATCAACAGATGAAAACCAATAACAGAAGTTATTGTTCCCTGAGCCATCTGTATTACACTGAGAGAATAAGGGGAGAGAAGGATTCTCATGGGGAAAGAGGCAGAGTAGGGGCCACAGCCTGGTGTCAAGTGTGCTCTCAAGTGGCATCTCAACCTGTGCCACTGTAACTGTTGTATTTTACACTGTAGTGGGATTGTGTGTTCACTAGCATGATCTTTATCCCATGGCAGAGAGTTAAGAGCTATTCATTTACTGAATTGAAGAACTGAAGAAGACACCGTGAGCATCCACAACCAGAAAGTGAAAGGAGGTAGAGAATCCTGCAGTACAGGGAGAGGCCTCTCATCGCACAGAGTTTCATTATGAGAAATGGAAAGAAAAATAGGGAAGTCATCAGTGTTAAATTCTCTAGGCATTAAAAAATAACAAGGATTGAGAAGAGTCTTTGTGTTTGGCCCTAGAGCATTGATGACCATCAAAACTATAGTTTGTAGAGTGTGGGTGGCAAGCTGTTCGTGATGGCGTGGAAGCAGTGAGATTCAAGAATTCACTGGAGACATGGAGAAAGGCTAAAAAAAGAATTTGGAAATCAGATGGAGAACAGCAGACAAAATGTTTCTCCTACTTGTAGAATTTATGTATATTTTTTTCTGTATATTTCTGTATGCGAGGACACTGCTTAAAAACAAGAAGATATTCTTAACTGCATGAAGTAGACATTTAACTCCATTCACGGGTGCCATTCGATGCAGCAGGTAGGCCCACAGATGAGACAGATGTTCATTGGATGTCCACAAAGAATATCCTCCTTATGGGAGAAAATTGATACAACAGGCTACATCCCTGGGCAGGAAGTTCGTGGATTCTGGAAAAGGAATTCGGCCACATATAAATCCTTAATAAAAAAAGAGTTGTCTTCAGGTATCTGGAAGGGTTGCCTTGGTTGTCAGCATGCATCTTTTAGGACAGATGTACACAGGGTCGTGAAAGGAGGATGCCCCACAGGTTGGTTGGACCAGCCATGGTCTGTGAGAGGCTAACGCTTCTAAGGCACTGAGTGGTGAGTGTGATCCGAGATGTAGGAATGAGGTAGAAATATGAAGAACTGAGCAGTTTTGGCGGTGGAGATCGTTGTAGGTTAAACAGAAAATGCTGTTTGTGCTTGGTCTTGAAGGATGTCAGGGGACTCACTGGGAAGACGGATGAAGAAGGACAACCAAGTTTATTGAACATTCTGAGAACAACCGTTAAGGTGGATCACCAAATAAAGTCAGCTTTATTTGTGATGCCTGTGTCTAAAAAATGACTCTAAAGAGAAAGAAACCTACTTGAGTGTATAATGGTCAGGAAAGGCAGGTTGTAAAGAGGTGGAATTAAGTCGTATATTTTCCGTATTTGTTAAAAGTTCGCTGGTTCTGAGTAGATCATTGCTCTGGCACCAGCTGTGTGAAGCTTGGATGGTAAGGGGAACCAGGGCTGGTCTGGATGATTTGCTGGGTTTCATCACCAAATTATTTGGAGAGACCTAGAAAATAAAAGATGATGAAATTTAGATGACAGTCCAGAATTAAAAGAGAACCAAATTTTAAGAGTCAAGCACAAATCTGTTCATATATTTAAAGACAAAGTTATATTTAATGTTACAGATGTCAGTGTTTCTCCTCTGGACTGAAAGTGTTAGAGGATAATATTCTGACTGTATAAACAAGTTAAAGATGTTGAAATAGTAGTGCAAGTGCTTGGAGCTGATGGAGAATGACCCATGATACATGAATTTTTGTGGGGTCAAGTTATAGGAGACTAGAGGTGTGTGTTTTTAATAAATGAGATCGCTCTGCACGTAATACTTTAAAACTTGGCTTTCCTAGCTTAAAAAAATATTGGGGAGAAGCCTGTATTAATACATCTAGATTTAACTCCTTTTTAAACTGCTATATATATATATATATATATTCCATACTATAAGTTTGTTACAGTTTATTTAGCCAATTCCCTACTGGTGGAGATTTATATTGGTTCTAATAGTCTACTTATAAAAAATGCTGCAATCAACTCCTTCCTAGTCCGTGTGGGCTCTCTCCATGTTAGTCCTTATTCCTTATGATTGGATAATGTGAAAATGCTGGAGACCCAGGATATATAATAGCTAGGATCAACCATATCTCTCAAAATTGCTCCAGCCATTTCCTTTGGTCAATTCTAAAGGTTAGGCAGTACTTGCTATGATTTAACCAAATATGCCTGAGAAATGGCAGAGACCCTGTCCTTATCTTTTGGAAGTAGTTTTCTTTATTTCTCTGCTTGCCTATCCTCAGAACTTTTGTCCCAGTGGTGCAGCTAGAGCAGGGCAGCATGAGAACACTCACTAGTAGACCAAGTCCATGCCTCTCCTACTACCCATCAGAGTTTTTTCCAGTATACAATGGGGGAAGGCTTCATTTGGGATGATGAAGTGTGAGATATCTTCTCTTTAGAGCTGTTGTTATACCAGTCCTTTGTGATCCCATAACCTGGGAAAAGCCCTAAAGAGTATTAAGAAGTAGTTAAGTTTTATTCCCAGTTGAGTGATTTACCCATAGGCATTTTTTTTTAACAGCCCAGGAAGGGGTCCTGACTATGATAGAGACTTTCTTGGTAGGATTATTTCTGTAGTAAAGTAGTACTGCCCAATACCTGGTCCAAAAAAACAGAAGGCCTTTATCTATTCTTAGGACTTGAACATAACAGTGGGCACAAAATGTACAGGGGGCAAATGTTGTTAGAGTCTGAAAAATGCAAAAATCCACACGAGGGTACAACATTTCACTGTTGGGATGGTGTTCAACTTGCTAAGCAAACCCTTTGTATGACTGAGTTAGCTGCCCTTGATAACAGGGATGCTCTGTTGTAGAACACAGCACAAGTATTATTAACGGTTTCTTGAATAATTCTACAGCAAGTCTACAAAATAACTTCTTGGAATAATTTTTATGTTCTTGAAAAGCGTGCTCTTTTAATTCTCACAACAAGACTGACCCAGCCAGGGTGAGCAATATCTTAGATTAGCAAGACTAGCTGTCTTGTCTTGTCACGGCTGAAACACAACCCAAATCTGCTTCCACATCCATCTGTTCCTCATTGGATAATGATACCTTCTAAAAGGAGTTCTGTGTTGAGACCGATATACATATTTACACATGAACAGAAGGAAGCCTCGATAATTTTGAGGTGTGCTGTGAAATCCCATACAGCTTATCTTTTGCTATTTGACTATAGGGCTGTAAGCTTACTCCGAGCTCACATAGAAGCATCCAGGGACTGTAAGTCAACCACTGTGCTTCATCTGAGCCCTCTTCTTGTTCTGTAAGATGAGGAAGACCTCAAGGGCATTGGGCTCCATGAGGCTCAGAAGCCTTCGTATTTGCTACATCTGTGTGAAAAAGGCCATTTTGTATGTCTGTTCCCTATTAGAGTTGAGTTTCTTGCCTGCTCTGTTTTCAGACATCAAGCCTTCTTTGGATGTGCTTTTCTAACTCTGTTTCCCAAACATGCTTGATCAGCAGAATCGCCTGAAAGAACTGGGATTTCTGTGATCAGGCAAGTTTAGGGAACAATCTTAGCCCGATCCATTAGACTATCTCTCAGAGCTTAGTTATCGAGTCCTGCCAGGAACCGAGGCCTATCGTGTGTTCCTGAAAGCACTTGGCTCCCTGCATGGCTCTTGGCAATAAATGAACTAAAACAACAAAAAAGTTAGGAGACAAGCATTCACTTCCGAAAGATCCTTTCCAGAGTCAGGAAGGACTTAGTAAGTGTTGTGAATTATAATATTGATTCATTTCAACAATGATTTGAGTGCATACTATGGGCCAGGCATTGGTGCTCGGTGCTGGGGATATACAGCTGTGAACGAAGCAACTAACGTTTATGGAAGCGCTTATCATGGGCCGAGACCAAGCTAACTGCTTCACATACCTTTCCTCCTTTTAACTTCACAACTATCCTGTGAGGTAGGTATTATCACCTTCATCTTAAAATTAAGAAACTGTTATTTCAAAAGCTTGACTGACTTGGCCAAGGTCACAGATCTCGTAACGGGAAGACCCAGAATTACCACCCAATGTGTCCGACTCCATAGCTCATGCTCCTTATCCCATTGAAATGATGCTTTCATGCAGTATGTACGTTCCCTCACATTTCCCTTTGACTTCAGAGGCTCTCAACTCTGGCTGCACACTAGAATTGCCTGGGGAGCTTTTAAAAAGTACCTTTGCCTCGGCCTCACTCCAAACAAAGAATTTTCGGGGGTCCACCTATTCGCATTTTTAAAAGAGCTCTGGGTGAGGCCAACGTGTAGTGATGGGTTGAGAACCACTCAGTATCATTAATTGCCATCCTAAGAGTTTCTAACATTATTCTTGGGACATTTGGCTGATTAAGTGTTTGCAGTTTCCAGGTAGTTTTTCTTCCCTTTTAAACAAAGTAGTTCACATGTAGGAAATACTTTAATAATGCAAAAGTTTCCCCCGAAGTGGAACATGGTAATAAACCAATTTAAAGAGGAATTCAGAAACTTGGAAATCTTTTTGTAGGAGAAGTATAGTCCACAGTGAGTGGTAAGAAATAACCTGGGGTCTAGAGCAGCCATGAGCTTCTGAGCTTCTGGATTTCTCTCTTCTGGTGAGACTCAGAACCTGAAAACTCTTTTAATCTGATGGGGGAAGGCGGCTTTGGGACAAATGGTGGTTCAAGAAAGTTTCCTTCATCCTTGATGAGCACTGGCTACAGAGCAACATACGTTTTTATGGTCCAAATGAAAGTAAAATCAAAAGTTAAATAGTTTGAATCTTGCTAATTTGAATGTGTTAATATATGTACTAGAGACTAAGATTTATTTTGAATGAGGTAAGAAAACACGCAGCAACCTAAAAGAATAGATATCTAAGTTTCTTGAAACTGTTTGAAAATCTTTATCTGCTCAAGCAATGCATGTGTATATGCTTATATAAACTTTTAAGTTAAGCATTCTGTGTTTCAGGCTTTCAACACTTTGTTAAACATCTATGATGTGATAGTAACATCTTGCCTTTGTGAAGATGGCAATCTAATTAATTATTGACTCTCCACTAATTAAACCAGTGAGTTGTGACTGTCCCCTAAGAGAGGTTCTTCTCAAAGCATCTGTATCATATATTAAGAGTAAATGGTTAGTTGAAGTAATCACAAAGTTGTGGTCCATAAAATTCCTAGAAAGAGAAAAACAGGGAAAGTAAATTTCGGGTCACTGTGTTCCACAAGTTGGAGGCACATCTATGAGAAGAACAAATCAAGGCTACCGGGGGAGGGAAGGCTTTTTAAACCAATAGGTCTTTAGAGAAAGACCTCTACTAATATAAGTAACTTAAAGTGAGTCTTATATCTGCATTTTAAAACCTAGCCACCAGGGCTGATAGGATAGTTGGATCATAATGTTCCACAGGGGTCAAGTCACTTTATGACTATTAGTAGAAAGGTCATTACCAAAACAAGTAAACAAAAAAAAAAGAAAGAAAGAAAAGAAAAACATGAAAAATGGCCTCCTTTTTTACATTTCCACATAGGTGATCTCCATTGCAGGAGATGAACTTGAACTTGGTTGGGCGGGAGACGGACCTGGTTGGGCGGGAGACTGGAGCCCCTCAGAGAATTTGGGATTCTTCCATTTTTACTGGGAGGGTTGGCAGGTATAACTTGTGTTGTTATGTGAGTCCATGAGAGCCTCCAGGGTTCTAACTCCCTGCCTCTCCGTGTGGTGGGGAGTCGGTCGCTCACTCTGAAGCACTCGACTGGTTTCTGTCTGTGGCTTACCCATGAACAGTGGCTTGGAAGTGTCAAAGCATGAGAAGCATGCGGGGGAACAGCATGCGCTGCCCTCATTTCCTACATGGGTCTGCATGGGAAGTTCGGGGGCTGTCTGCCTCTGAGCTCACTGTTTCCTTCTTTCCCTACAGAACTCGTTGAAGGCTTCAAACCGGAAGAAGAAGAGGACAAGCTTTAAAAGAAAAGCCAGTAAAAGAGGGACTGAAGTAAGTGTTTCAGGACTCCGTCCCAGTAAGCAGCTACATCCTCCTGACCGTAGTCACCTCTGGGTGATTTGATCTGGCCCAAGCTTCTTTTCCTGATAAATTTTCAACCCCCTTTCCCTCCTTCACTACACTCAAACCACACACTGGAATTCCTTTCTATCTCTGGAAAATGTTGTGTATGTATAACCTCCTGCTACTTCAGGATCAGAGAGCATTTGCACTCGTCCATGGAAGTATTATCCCAAAGATGATGAAGATGAAGACCTCACATTTCTAGAATGCTCAGAGCATACAGAATAAAATAAAAAAAAACATGGCTTATTCCCCAGGGCAAATTATAGCTTGAGATCCTTTCTTCTAAACATTATATGGACTATCTTTCAAAGAGTAAGCCCTGTGAAACAAGATGTAGCTTTTTTATTTGGGGGGATCAAGGGTTACCGGTGGTGGGGTGTTGATAGTTTCTCCCTTCCATCGCTTTTGGGCTACCTGTCCAAGTCATGGATGAATGTCTCAATAGTGTTGCTTTCTTCTTTTAGCAGGAAAACAAAGGTCGTCCTTTTGTGATAAAACCTATCTCTTCTCCTCTCATGAAACCCTTGCTTGTGTTTGTGAACCCCAAGAGTGGAGGCAACCAGGTAAGTCATTTTTCATGAGTTTAAGTTGGAAGCCTCAGTGCTTTCTTGCAAACAGTCCCCAACACCGATTAAAATGGCACCACCTAGAACCCCAAGCATTGAAAGACAACCAGTTTCCCAGGGACAGGGTTATTGATGTAGGGCATAGCCTTATATACTGCAAGGTTAGGCAAAACCTAGAGGTCCTATGATTTAACCCTCAGCTTCCAAGCAAGACTATACCAGTGGCACTCCAAAAATGCTGACATTTTCCTTACAGATTTTCAAAAAAGGTCATCCCAAAATCTCTTAGTTAATATGTTTCAGAGTTTCTTAACTCTTACTGTTAGGAAGCTCTTTATGGACTTCTCTTTATGGCTTCCCCTTGTAAGTTAGACCTGACTGCTTTCATCCCTATCCTCAGAGCAAAGCGAGAACAATGACTCATCATTCCCAATGATCATTAACAACAGATGCCACCAACGCTATCAAAAATATCACCTTCTAAACGTTTCATTTGGTCTGAGCCCAAATCTTGTAGCATAATTAATCACGACCTCATTTGAGGAAAAAGTAACAGCCTAACAACACTCAAGGATAATGACATACCTGAAGTGACAGAGCTCTTTAAAGGACAGAATTTGTTCTAGAATCTAGGTCTGTGTCTCCTCATAACCTTTTGTTCCTACCCTGAGGCTTCTTATCCGTACTCTTCTTTGGCTTTGATTTTTCTCTATCTTCATGTGAGAATAAATGATAAAATATTTTCTCTGTCCACTAAGTGCACATTTTACATTTTGAGGTGAGGTTCCTTTAAGTTTCACACTTAACAATGACAGATTTGAAACTGTCTAGTTAACTCCACATAAGGAGGGGAGTCGTATAATTAGGACTGATGTTCTTACTACCAAGCATAAGGGGCATTTTTCCAGAATGGATTAATTACAATAAAGCTTCTCTTAGGAGAGCTTGTGATTTACAGAAAATATTTTCTCTCCATTTCTTTCTTTAAAATTCTTGATAATTTGCTGTGTTAAAAATCTTTAATGTTGAAGAGAACAGGGAAAAGAAATGTGCCATGAGCGGAAAATCTATTTTCAGCATCCTGCTTTTTTAAGTTGGTGAGTGATGTTGGCGATATTGTAATGATGGCGATCCTGAGACTGTCACTAGAGGGGCTTTTTGGGAGTGAGGTTCAGTGTGCCCTGAACCATAGTCACTCCCTAGGTCTGGTCTCCCTAGAGCCTAGTGAGGGTTGGAGGTGTATTTGGGGACCACAGAACGGAGCAAAGCTGATGCAGTGGACTCCATTGATTTTGACCGCTTGAGTATCCCATGCTAATTCCCAGTATATCTTATCATGAGGGTCATTCTAGAAGATGCACTCATTAAATCATAAGCCTTTTTCCTAGAGCCTTTAGAAACTTGTAGATTTCAGGAGTGGACAGGCCAGTAAAGATGGAACCCATTTTTGTTGGGATCTCTGTGTAAATTAGTAATGCCAGGGACCTCAGAGATGATCTGATGTTGTTTCCTGTTGCACTAAATAGAAAACAAGAAAGCTTAAGTAAATTTTCTAAGGACATCCTGTTAATGACACCAAAGGGGCAAATGGGAAAAATAAATCAAGCAACATTAATTATATGTGAGTTCTAAATTGAATGGATCAAACCGAGACTGCTCTGGAATTTCAGAGCAGTGGTAGTGGTAAGAAGGTGGTGTCATGGAAATGGCTGAATTGAAGATGGACACTACTTATTTATACAGAGAGAGAAAGCTGGGAGAGCAGTGCCCTTTTCCTTCTCTCTTGGTGGCAAACTCCTGTTCATCCTTTAAGGCTTGGAACCATTTCTCGAAATGAATCACACTGTCCACTGTGCTCCCATAGCACTTGGGAGCTATTTACACAAAACCTGTATTTTGTGAGTTGCAATGTAAGCGTTCTGTGGGGGTTCTGCTAAGATACAGGCTCCATAATACCTGGGGCTGCACCTTTCAACCTGTGATTTCTAGTACGTGGGCTATAGAAGTGAACAAAGAATTGTATAATAAGCAATCAGGGTTTTACAGCAGATTATCTGGACAGTGGCTTCATTACTGATAAGAATTCAGGAAAGGGAAGAATTATTTTGGAAAAGAAGTTGAGATGTGTTTGAGGTACTGGAAGTGACTGTGAGATATTCAAATAAAAAATGCCCAGTTATTAGAGACAAAAGGCTTTAATGATTTGCTCTCATTTTATGCATTTTGGCTTATGAGATTACTTCTAGAATATCTAGGATTCTCAGAAGTATGACTAACCAAATCAAAATGAATATTGTGTATTGTGTAATTTTACATTTCTATATACTTTCTTTATAAAATAGAATTCTTCACTAAGCCTAATAAAGAGCATTGCTTCTAAGCACAGTATGAAATGTTGAGAAACTTTAAAGGTATCCAAATACCTATGTATAATTGCAATCATTCAAACCGATCTTCTTAGGAAGGCACAGCTTGATTCCCAGTTGTATGGAGTAGGGAAGGATCGTGGTCATAGATGATCTAATTCCTCTGTTAGGGCCCCCCTTTTCCTGTGCTGTGGCTGTCTATGCCCTTAACATTGCAGAAGAGGGGAGATTCTGTGTGATGGAGAGTCGGAGGGTGAACTGTGGAAGTTTCTCACTCCTTGGCTCCCTTGAATCTTGTTTCCTCCATAATTTTGCCCCCTCCCCTGCCCGACCTTCACTGAGACTAAAGGGTCAAAGGAGGACTAAGGATGGCAGTGAAAACAGGGCAAATGAACCCCAGGAAGGTGGCCCTGAGATTCTGCTTTTCTTTTTTTTTTAACATCCATGTTTTCATACAACTCAAGGGTGAAGAGTCAAGTTAAGCTCATTCATTAAATCAGTTGTTTGTCTTTGAGCTTATTAAATGTGCTGTTGGATGGTGTCATTCAATAAAGGTGCCTTCCCAGGTTGGATGCTTCTTGCAATCATGAATTAGATCCTGCCATTGGTACCCTACAGATTCAGTGACTGTTTTTTTTGTTTTTTAAATTATGTTCAGTGAGATTCTGCTTTTCTAACAAGCTCCCAGGTGACTGTTATTGCAACTCAAAGACCACACTCTGATTAGCGAGGGCTGACTAGAAGTACTTCTGTTGTTGTTCAATCCTGTTTTTTGCCTTTTAATGACTGATTTATTTTGCTTATCTTTGGGAGATAGAAAGCACTCCTTATTTGAAGCCTGGGCTCCAAACTCAGTGGTAGAAATCTCGCCTGCCGAACTTTTATTTAAACTTGCTTGGGCTTCTCTTAAGTAAATAGCTAGACTCTATCGCCACCTTCTGGCAAGAAAAATACCTATAGCTTTTTAAAAAACAGTATTTTTCTCGTATGTAGAAATTTTCCAACACTTTGCAGGAGTACATTGAGATGAAAACATTTGGAACTGCTTCTATGTACCTTTTAAACAATAATTTGTTTTAAACAGTTATTTCACAATAATTGTCTCTGTTCTTCCATCGCTTAAGGTGGAGATGATAGTGGGTGTTTTGAAAGTTTTATAGGCTGGCAGTGCTCTTTTTGGGGGAACAGGAACTGGAATCAGGGACCACAAGATCAACTTCGAGTTTCTCCTCCTGTGGAGAAGATGTAATACCTGGGAGATAAAGTTTATACCAGTACAGTCCCCTCCTCTGTGTTTGAAAACCTGAGGACTCGAGAAATAGCCACCCTCCCTTATATGACTTAACCTCCGCTCTAACTTCAGAACTTAAGTGTTTTTCTTGGATGTCCCTGACTCATTAGCATCTTTCTCCCTGAGTCTTATAGACACTTCTGATATCTCTCGATATTTCCTACTTTTCACACGATCTCTCCTGAAGGCTCCCTCTCAGGACTTCATTTCCAGGAACTTAGGTTGTATATTCAGGGTTAAGCAGGTGTTCTGACCCCTAGAGTGATTCTAACTTGTCAGTCCTGACAGTTGGGGGGTCCGGACCCTGGCTTTTCACACTGTTCAATGTGAAATCCAGGGTTGAGGGGTGGCATGAGTTGCATTTGACTTCCCAGGGGCTTTATCAGTAGATGGTAAGAGGATGGGGGTGTCCAATTTGTGGGCAGGCTCGCGCTGAGTTCACCACCATCCCATGGCTGGACCTATGCACCGTCACCCCAGGGCCACCCCTCCTAAGACAGGGACAAGTCCACCAAGGTGGCAGAAGGAGTTAAAAGTCAATAACTTCAAATGTTTGAGTCCCCAGACTTTCTAAATACTTGAGCAAAAAACCTCAATGGTATTCTGTGATGTACAACTTGGGGATAAATCAAGAGTCAGGATGTTTGGATAAAATTTTAGGCTCCCAATGCCTAGAATGGGCTAGGCAGAGGGCAGAAGGTTAGGCAGCAGATGATCACACATGTCAAAATCCACGCTCAAGATCTTCTTGTCAGGCCAACCTCAACAGATGGAACGAAAACAACGGAACAACAAATCTGTGGAAAGTCCCTTTTCTCGGTTATAACACTGGTGGAAGTGTGGGGGGCAGGCAGCTGTCTTACTCTACTCAGGCTGCTCTCACTGAATACCAGAGACCAGATGGTTTAATAACAGGAATTTATTCCTTACAGTTCTGGGGTCTGGGAAGCCCACGATCAAGGCACCAGCAGATAGGGGAGCTGGTAAGGTTCCACTTCCTGGTTCACGGAGCGCCGTCTCTCACTGTGTCCACTCACTGTGTCTTCGTGTGGCAGAAGCGATGAGGGGGCTCTTTGGGGTACCTTTTATAAGGGCACTAATCCCATTCACAAGGGCTCCACTTACCCCAAGGCCCCACCTCCTTTGATAGGTCTAGGGCCTTCTAGCTTCTTAGTTTATAGCCAGACTGAATCATCAAAATGTCAGTCTGGCTCCCCTGATTAAAACATTTCAGTGACTCTCATTTCCTATAAAACAAAGCCCAGGCCCCTTAGCAACTTAATCCACAACTCAGTTTTGTCTCCCACTGCTCCTGCCTCACGGTTCAGAGACTAAACAGGACACACTGTCCCCCTGACACGTCTGGTGCCTCATCATTCTCTTCTCCACGTGTAAAATGGTTAACTTTACTCGTCTTTCAAGAAACAGTTCAGATATCACATATGGGGTGCCTTCATCTAATCCCCAAATTGGGGCTTAGAGTGTCTCCTCCGGCCACTCTTACTGCTCAGTAGGTATCTCCGCAATAGCATTAACCATCTTTAGTGGACTCATTCATTTTGTATTTGCCTCTTTCTGAGCTTCCTGAGTGTACCCATGTGTACAGAGTAGGAGCCTAATATGTGTTTGTAAGTAAATTAGGTATTCCTTTGGGGTTGTTTGAAGCCCGTTTGAAGTAATTATTTCTTAATCTCTTCCTTCCACTAGCTTTTATTTTCCTCGGGACTTTCCTAGCAGCTTTTGCCGTGATCTAGATAATCCCTTTGTGACATAAACTGAGGCTTGCTCAGTAACCCACCAGCATGTTTCAGGCTATCGAAGAGTTACAAGGCTTTGATGAAGACTGATAAGCTCGTGGAGCTGATTCATTCTTTATTGACTCTCCATACCCCCAAGTCATTATCGTATTTTCTTTTATGCATAATGCCTAGAACTTCCTCTGGAGAGCAGGATCTTCCCTGTTTTGCCCATCTCTCTCTCTTCCCACCCAACAGGGTGTCTGGCACCTAGTAGGTAAGTTGATGAATCCTGTTTATTTCCCTCTAGAACAATCTACCTGTTTTCTGGGAAATTGTTTTCTCCTCTCCCAGCCTGTTCTCCAACACCTGGAGCCAGAAAGAACCTATTCCTCACTCCACAGGAATACCCAATCTCACAATATCTTAACAGGTTCAATAGTCAATGAGGTGATATAGCTACAACTGTGTGTACGAGCACCCTCCCGGAGTGTGTTAGAATTGACATGCAACCTATTTTTTCCATTTAGAGAAAAGTAGAATACTTTTGCAGAGAAGTTGCAGCTTTTCTCAAGAATAAAATAAAACAAACAAACCAAAAACCCCGAGTAACCTAGACTTGAGGTTGACAAAAGCCCAAAGCTGAAAGTTCTAGCCCATGGACCGTGCACCTCCTTTCCTGCTCACTAGCCATAGGACCTTAACATGAAAGCAACTGAGGACTCTATGTTCAATGTTCTTCAAACATTGTGTCTTTCTTTCCTCCTAAATCTTGATGAACTCTAAGGCGGTTTCATGTCCTTTATCTTTGTAGTCCCGGGGCTTAACATAGTGGCTTGCTCTTTGCATGCCCAGATAGGGAGTGAAAGCGAGGGGGAAAGGCAGGTGTGTGACAGGAGCAGGGAGGAGAAAGAGCAGGAAGAAACAAACTGGCACAATAGTGTACAAACAAAAACAAAAACAAAAAACTCAGCTTTGAGATTTGGCATGTGGCCGGTGACAACGACGAGCATGTTTGGGACTCACTAGCTGTGTAAATGTCTCAGTCGGTTTATTTATTTATTTTTTTAAAGATTTTATTTACTTATTTGACAGAAGAGACACTGCGAGAGAGGGAACACAAGCAGGAAGAGTGGGAGAGGGAGAAGCAGGCTTCCTGCGGAGCAGGGAGCCAGATGTGAGGCTCCATCCCAGGACCCTGGGATCATGACCTGAGCTGAAGGCAGACACCTAACGACTGAGCCACCCAGGTGCCCCTGTCTGAGTTGGTTTCATCCTGTCAGTGAGAAAGAAATGACTCTTTTCCTGGTGAATTGGCATTTCTCAAGCCATTCAATTCTATTGAATGAATTACCTAAGCCTTAAAGTAGCTCATCCTAAAGGTCACAGCACACGTAAGAGAACTGACTTCAATGTGTTGGACCACCTTTTTTTTCTCCACCCGCCATGATAGACTTAAAACAATGCAGTACTTTTCAGACCCTTGCCGGTCTTGCTAATGCATATATTTTAGAAAGACTCATTATAAAAGAAATAATTCTCTCACACCTGAATGTAACCTCTGATTACATTCTGACGTGTATGGTTTTGCATGTTCCCCCTGCACAGCTCCGAGGGCATTCTTCCAATAGGCTGCGGTGCTGATGGGGCCTCCTGGAGATGGTGCAGCTTAGAAATTGCCAACCTGAAATCCCCTTCCTCCAAAGGAAAAATGTAGTTGATTGGGCATCACCATGAACACACACTTAAAAGGAGCAAAACCAAAATGGTGTGGTTACTCAAACCTTTTGGAGAAACTTTAGTTTAGGAAAACCACCTGCAAATGCCTTTTATTTTTTGAAAAGTGTCCGTTCCCTGGTATCATAGGCATCATAGAAGCTGAAATTGAGACGAGCATTCAGCTGTGGCCAGAAGTGGAAAGGAGTAATTAACATTAACCATTCATATTGCTCTAGGAATTCAAAACTGAAAAATTAATTTTCGAGCAAGTCAGTGGGAAATTTTTTTATAAATCGGTCATTAAAATGACTCTGGTGTTACCAGTTATGCATCAAAGATTACTTGACGTAACCCGCAACTGACTTGATAGCAAGGCGCAGTATGGGAAGAGAATGATCCAGTATTTAGTTAGTATTATGTATCCAAATCTATGTCTGAATTTTATAGGAAGCAAAATATGTCATTTGGTGAAATTGAAGGATTAGTTGTAATAATTAAGGATAGACTGTTATTCCTAAATTTATAGCAAGCACATGATAAAGCAGAACTTTTAAATTACAGGTTTGGATGAAATGTGGAGCAAAAGACCTGCATTGGGCCCTGTAACAACCAGCATAACAATGTGATAATTACAAGCTACACTTTAGCCCTCACGCCCTCAAGTGCAATTTACTGAATAGATTAACAAGGAGCAACAAAGAAAGGGACTAACCTTTACAAAGGCCTATTTTGCGCCACATACTGTGTTAGATCCATAACTGTTACTGATTCATTTAATTCTCATTATGCCCCTGGAACATAGATGTTGCCCTCCTATTTAATATGCTGGATTTCTGCAGGATTATAAATGCTCACGATTACCTAATGAGAACACGCACGTTATTACTGACTCAAATACCAGGCTATTTCTGCTGTCCTGGGATGACTCTCAGATATAGCATAGTAGGTGTACAAACTTGGGAATATTTTAAGGAAGAGCACTCAGGATAGCTAATAAGGGAACTATTAATAAAGGCTATAAGCACTGCCCAACTGATCAAACGTCATTTGCTGCGGCTGATAATGACCTAAAATGGGGCACCCTGTGCAGTTTTAAAGCTCTTTTGATGCTGCTTAATGAAATGATCCTTCTTTCATTTCTTCTTTGCTCAGTTCACTGTTAAGAAATGATCTCCAGGGGCGCCTGGGTGGCTCAGTCGGCTACGCGTCTGCCTCGGCTCTGGTCATGATCCAGGGGTCCTGGGATCGAGTCCCGCATTGGGCTCCTCGCTCAGCAGGGAGCCTGCTTCTTCCTCTGCCTGGCATACTCTCTCTCTGACAAATAAATAAATAAAAGAAAAGAAAAGAAATGATCTCCAGAACTGCCTTGTGTTTTCCATGATGATCAGTTCTACAAATGCCAGTTATAAATTACTTAAAACATTCCAAAAATGTTCATGTGAGAACTGTTTGACTTAGAGACATGGAAATTGAAACAAAGTCAAAGTACACTGTAATTAGGAAAGTTACATGTATCTATCCTAAATAATGAGGAGCCTGTGAGACTTTTGCTTCAGTTAAATCATTTCAGTAAAATCACACTTAGCACATACCGTCTATCTTCATATTATGCAAAGATAAAAGTAATCTTCACAGTGAAGTTAAAATTAATGTTAAATGACGTGGACTAATAACTTCCCTACATGGGTTTTTATGTTGAGTGATCGTAAAACCTGTAGATACTGTTCAGTAAGAACTTAATTGGATGCCAAGCACTGTGACGTGCTCCTCAAACATGATTGCATATAATTCTTGCAACAAGTCTGTGAATGAGGCATTCTTATCTCCACATTAAAGAGAAGGAAGTTGGGCTTACTGAAATTGGAGAACTTGGCCAGAGTTACGCAGGTTGGACAAAGGCCTCTGGACATTCAACCTGTATATCAGCGGCCAAAGCCCATGATTTAACTACTACTTCATGCTATTTATAATTAGATGATATTTTAGATAAGAGGATTTGTTTTTATTTTTTCAACGAGCAGCAAATATTTGGAAATCTCTATTGTCTTTTTAAATTTTTTTTTTTTACAGGGAACCAAAGTCCTGCAGATGTTCATGTGGTACCTGAATCCACGGCAGGTGTTTGATCTTTCTCAGGAAGGGCCCAAAGATGCGTAAGTCTGCAAATAACCCCCTGTGGTCCACACTGGTTTAGGCAAGCAAGAAGGACTTCTGCTGTGAAGTCAAGCTTCATTATTAGATTACCTTGTGAAATATTTTCTGACCATCCCTCATTGACCCTGTAGTCACCTCCCTTAAACCTTCATCTGATGTTTCTCCTCCGACTCTTCTTTGGGCTAATTCCCTTCCAAACTAGCTACACAGTTGTTAACTTAGGGCATACTTCTCGTGTGTTTGCTGCTCATGTGCATGCAACTGTAGATTATTTACAAGTCTGCACTGAGAAAGGATTTGTCCTTTTTCTACTTATGCATGTACAACTTGGGAGATGTACATTAGTGAGAATGTTAAGTATATCTTTGGAGAGTGGCCATATTTGTTTATGAATGTGTTTGTGTATTTGAATAAGAGGTTTGTGTGTGCACCTGTGTCCATTTGAGACAGATTAATTGATTATGCCTATAGATTCCACACCAGAATGGGAAGACATTTTAATTCCTGCTCAATCCCTTTTTCTGAAGTTCTCAGAAGTTTCATTCTGTTTTTGTTAGAAGTGCTGAAAATAAAGTTTAGACGTAGGTGACATGTATCCTGTATCTTCCCTTTGGTGGCGGTGGTCTTGTATGTGGTGGGAAAGAGCAGGACTGTTTCTGCTACTGTTGGATTCCCCTTTTAAAACCCATGTATTAACATACTTTGGATGTCATTGGATAAGCAGAACTTAAGGGATACTAATTATTTTTAAATAAGTAACAATATCAAAGGCAAAGTAACCAGCTCAGATAATTTCTAGAGAAATAATATTCCTGTATGGAGTTAATAAATCATATATTTGAAGCATTCAGGAGAACATTAAATATAAAAATTCATTTCTGCCATCATTCTTTTAATCGATGAACTTCTTCACCACTAGAGTTCGCTATAAAACTTCTTTATTTTTTTTCTCTGTATTTGGATGGACTAAGGCAAATCTGCTACCCTGGCTTTTGCCCTTTTAGATGCTTTTCTTAAAATCTTATCACTTTGGTTAAACTTTAGCAGAGCCTTCATAGGTCATCCTAAAGAATGTGGCCAGATAGGAGATGTTTCCAGAAAAAAAATGCTTGATTTGGAAGATGATGTTTTTGAGAACAGAGGCATTGACAGTTTCACTTAAGGAAATGTTTTAGCAGGGGTGCTATAGTTGTGTTTTCTCAAGAGCCAACATGAAAAATGATCTAATTTTAAGCAGACAAATTTTAAATAGAGAAAAATCAGTAAATCTTCCCTCTTTGGGCCGAGGAGTATAAATTTGGTTCGAGTGTTAGTGAATGAGTGGAGAGAGAACTAGAATTGTAAGTGTGTGGTAATGCTGTGGGCATCCTCCCGCCACCCTGTCTCTCGGAAAAGGTTTACTGGGATTAAGAGTGGAAAGTATAAGTTTGAAAAGCAAATCCAGGAAAAGCTGACAAAAAATAAGGAGGAGACACATAATGACTACTGACTACCAGTTAATGAGGATTTTCTTTGAGAAAGGAAGAAGGAGTATGATGGGAAAAGAAAAGGAAGTCGAAACTAATTAGGAAAACTATGTGAGTTGATGCATTAATAGGGATTATGGGAAATAAAACTCTGGGACATCCTGAAATCCCATTCCAATGCCGGCCATTTAAAAATGATTTTTGCTGCCAACCTCTGATCCAGCTGCTGGGGTCCATCCCCTTGTGATAACTTGGCAACTAGTTTTGATGACATCATTATCCTCATGATTATACATTTTCTCCAGTGGACATCCCCTCTCCTCTTTTGCTCATGTTTTCTCTCTGCGATGGCCAGTGATGAGCTCTTTTGTTTACTTCATGTTCTTTTTCCTCTACAGGCTTGAGTTGTATAGGAAAGTACCAAATCTGCGAATTCTGGCCTGTGGTGGGGATGGAACGGTAGGTCCTCGAGATAGAATCAAGCTCTCTCCCTTATTTCTTCCATCTTTCTTTTGCTCTCCGTATGACAGTTCTCTTTATTCATTCCCACCTCACCTCTTTCCAGTCCCCTAAGACCTAGGTCTCTGTCATGAGAATCATAGCCCATAAAGGCTTAGAAGAGATGTTGTTATTGTCTCATGGATTCTTAAATTATGTTCTATTCCCTCAGCCGTACTGTATCCCTTCCTGTTCTACAAGGTAAGAAGGGGGTCAGATCATTAGAATGAAGGTTATAGATGACTAAGTTCTTAACTTAAATAATAACTTATTTCCTTTGGTTCTTAATAATTGGTTACAGTCACTAAGGAGAAGTATATGGACAAAATTACTGTATTTGTTCTTTTATGAGTGGAGATAAAACTTAGAATACTGGCAGTGGTTTACCTTAAAGATCATTGATTGGTTTCCTTTGCATTCATTTTTGAAGAAAAGATGGAATTGTGCTGAAGTTTAATATTATGGGTACATTTTCCTCTATTTGTCTCATCTGTTTCCCCATTTGCCCTCTACTTATGTTGGTATATTTAGCAAAGGCAAAGAATTGGTGAGAACCATGACATTTAGACTCTGCTGCCCAGTGTCTTTTTCTTCTGTATTTGGAGTGTGCTCTCATAAGACCTAGAATTTTTATTATGAATCATCTTTGGCTTTTCTCTAATCTCCCTAATTAGAATGTTTTATTCTTGAAGGTAGCAACAAAATCTTTTAACTACCTCTCATAGCACTTAATGCAGCATTGGATACACATTATATACCAATAAATGCAACTGGAAAAAAAACAGAACAGAGTTTCCACTGGTCCCTTAAGTTACTCCCTGAAGATGAAAACATTTTTCAGTTGGGAAAATAGTGTTTACCTTTGTCAAGATTCACAATGCACATTATTAGCTTATAAAATTCATTACAAAATTTTACAGCTGAGAAGCCAAACCTGTTTCACTTTATTTAACCCAGTGTTTTCCAAAACTATTTGACCATGGAATATTTTCTGCCACAATACCAATTAAAGTTCAATCAGTTGTAGTGTTCTAGGGAGATATACTAAGGGATAGGCTGGTTTGGAATTTTCCCAACTTTTTTAGTAGAATTATATCAAAACAAATCCTCCTCTGGGGATATATTTGTATTTAGTAACTAGTATGTGTGTGTGTATGTATACGTGTATATATATATATTTGTATATGTAAGTATATTAAATATATATTAGTATATTTATTATGTGTAACGTACATATACACACACACAGTGTTCTTAGCTCAGCTGTCCCCAGGTAGTTATCTTAAAATATAAACTTATTGTGACCGTTTACTACAGTTCTTTTCCTGATTTTAGAATCTCCTTATCTTTCTATATGACTACAGCATTTGCTCCCATCTTTTCTCCTTCTCTCAATCACAGTGATAGCAGAGAAGTTGAGGCTATGCCTGTTGTCCTGAATTCATGGTTCTTAGCCTTTCTTCATGGCTCAACCGAAGTGACCGTGACCTCAAACCCACGTCCACTTCCCATTCCATCTCTACATCTTGGGCTTCACCATTGACTGAGTGCCACCCCTTCCAAATTTCTTGCGTCCTCCCGGAGCCTCCTGGCAGCTCCCTCTCGCTTCTCGTTTCTTCTTCCTTTACTTTACTCACTGGGAATGTGTAGAAAGCACGTTGTAGGTTATGTGGTTTTGAGGCATTCTCTGCAACTAGGGAAGTATTTGAAAACCTGGGGTTTTAAAGCCTGAAGGACGAAGAGAAGAGAACCGAGTCCAGACATTTGCGACACAGCTGCAATTAGGGAATCTGGGCCAAAGTTCCAAAGGAAGATGAAAAGATCGAGGTAGAAAGGACCCCTCGTAGTCTATTCTGTCAAGAAAAAAAACAAAAACAAAATACAAAGGAGTTTCAAGAAAGAGGCAGTGGTTATATCCTGAAGGAGAGACTGGAGAATTATCGTTGATTTTGGAGACTAGGAGATAACTAGTGGGTTTTTAAAGGAAACCATCTCAGTAGCATGTCTGGGACAAAACCAGAATGACAAGCAAGTGAGACTTGGTAGATGGCTAATGAATCCTAAAGACCAGACCCAATTACAGTGTTGGATATCTGTGAATACACCCTGGTACCATTAATACCTTTTTGACATGAAGACTACCTAGTTCTCCTACTTAGCCTGTCTTTTCCAGCCTCCTTTCTTTAAGTATACCATAATTAATAGGTGCTCTGCAAGGCTAGATATTACTCTTCTTTTATGTTCTGGGTAGTTTTTCCTCCTAGGGACCGTATCTATGTTCCTGGCTTTGGTTTTCACATCCTTCCACGTAATTTACAAATGCACTTGACATTTATACTCAGGTCCCTTGCAACAGGCATGCTCCTAAGGAAAGGAGTAGATATACCCGAGGGTTGGTGCATACTTCTGTACTAATTATTTTCTCAATGGTAACCTCTGTAATTTAATCACTCAGAACCAAGACTTGGCTTATCCTGTACCTTATATGAAACCAGGTTTTATTTTATTTTACTTTACTTGGTTAAAATGGATGTGTTGTGAAAGAGGCCTGGAGTTGATGAAATGTTTCTCTAGGTAAGTGATTGATATTTTTAATCTGATTAGTTTAGAATATGAAACTTTTAATTTTGAGTAGGAACAGAGTTTCTGTAAAGGCGAGGCCTCCTGGTGGATTTATGAAGAAAGCTTGCTGGCTTGAGGCAAGTGAAGAATAATTCCTGAGAGTGTCAGCTATACATTTGACATAAGGCATTCAGCCTTTACCCGGGGAGCATATCCATCACCGTAGAAGCTGTCAGAATTCTGTCAGTATAGTGACAAGGTCCCAGGGAGAATCAGGAATGGAATTTTTTTTTTTGACTGATTAGGAGGAGGATATATTAACCCTTAATGGCATTAGTTTGTGCACAAAGTATTATTTCATGTGTAGATGTCTCGCATTAATTTGGAAAAAAGTTCTTTGGCCTCGCTGCTAGTTCTGTGTCGCTCTGCCTCCTTGCACTTTTAAATAACCCATCTCCCAGCACTGCACCTGGAGCTGGTTGGGTGCCTATGTTTCTGTGACTTTCAGCAGGTTTCTAACCCTCCTTTGAGACCTTCTAAGTCTGCAAAGGGATACATTTGCCGTTTCAACATGCAATCATAGAAAAATCACTCATGAGATAGTTTGTGTTCAATGTGTGCTATCTTCAAAATCCGGCATATATTTCTACTTCCATCATCTCCAGTTTATATTAGACACATTCTAGCGCTCAGTCGCTGCCTGTGGCCAGTGGATGCTTCAGCGGACAGTGCAGGTGTGGTCTCTTTGGAACTGGTTAGCACAGTCCTAAGGTGGTCACATAGTTGCGGCTATTGGATGGGCTTGTCTCACCTTTGATCTCTAGGCTGAAAGAAAACTCCCCTAACTCAAGAATGGTCTCAGACCTTCATGTTTATAAACTAGTTGCTTTTTGGCTATGTGGCGATTGTATACTCTTTGCCTTTCGTGGCCACATTGCTACCTGTCCAGCTCCCCATAGCCATCCCTCTGCTTAAATATTGAAGGGTATGTGAACCAAGACCCCAGAGGCACACATACCCTTCCCTCCTGATGGCTTCTCAAGGTGTAATGTGATCCCGACCTATCTGGCTCCTGACCTTGGTAACTGGGCTGGATCTGCTGGTCCTCCTTTGACCATGTTAACGTCTATCCGAAGGCCTGGAATTAAACTATTTGGTCATCCACTTCATGCTTATTTCTTGATCACTTGGCTTCCCTAGGTGAGGATACACCCCAAACAGTAGGCATCTCCGTGCCCTGACTTACTACAGCCACCACAGGGAAGAAAGTGGTATTTCCCTTTAACTGACAGTGGCAAGCACATCATTCCAAGTCCCTTTCCTCCCAAGGCCTCAGCTTATCTCAATCTCTCTACCCACCCTCCATCTCCCTCACCTTCTATCTTGATTTCTTTAGGGCTGACTTTAAACATTTCTTTTAACACACAGCGACTTGTAAGCTATGAAGTACAAACATAAATTAAAGTATCAAAAGGAAGAATCATAGTGTACACATTCGAAAGGGACACCCAGGCATTAAATGCTATCTTGATGATCTTTCAGTTCAGAAATGTTAGCCTTGTTTCCTTTTGATTTCTCAATATGCCCATCCTTCACTTTTTGCCAGCATATAAGGCGATGCAACGTACACCTGGTCTGTTCAAAGAAAGTGTCAATTCACTGCTTTTCCCACCCCTCAGCCACCTCTAATGTTAGTACATTGCAGAATGAAAATAGTGCTCAGCACGTAATGGGCAAACATTGGGTGATGGCTAGGGTGCCCCACGGACAGGTGGACAGGTGGTGGCAGCACTCACCAGCTGTGGGTGGCACTCACCGGCCAGGCTGCTTGGCTCAGGGACAAAGCCCAGGAGCCTGGCCTTACAGATCTGGCAGGCCTGCTCTTTCTAACACAAAGGCAGGAAGAAACGTTGCAAACTGGGAAATGATTTCACCCAGTCTGGATCGTTTTCTTCAGTTTTGGTGGAAAAAATGCCAAGTGCTGTGTTTTGTAATTAATTACATTTAACTGAAGGAGTGCTGGATGAGCTGGTGGAGATGATTTGGGTAAATGCGAAAGCCCAGCAAACACAATCCCTGCCACGAACCTGAAGCCTGGGCTTCCCAAAGGAACAGGTTCCTGGTAAGGGAGAGGCCCCAGTAACAGTCTTGGGCCTGAAGATCTTTTATATAGTTTTCCTTTTATAAGGACAGATATAGGTTATTACTCAAGATCTTTTATGTCTCCTGCTATTGTAGATGTATTTGTTTACATTCTCTCTCTCTCTCTCTTTGTAGTGCTTTTCTGCTTCAGTAGAGCTTGGCTTTTCTGTTTCGGATAGTCTCTGAAGACTTTGTGATTGATGGCAGTCAAAGGTGGCATTGATTTGTGACCCTGAGGTTCAGCTTTAAGTGGAGAGGCAGGAAGAGGGCATGTTGCTACTTGGAAACTGGACCTTCATAGAGGAAGTGAAGAGGAAGAAAAATAAAGCTTAATCATAGCAGCTAATGTTAATTAAGCATTTCCTGTTGTGAGGCATATGCTGTCATGTCTACATGTCATTTAACTGATAACATAACCCTAAGAGTCTTAGGAACTTGGAGAGATTGAGTGGCTTACTTAAACTTGCCTAGCCAGTGTGTGATGGGCTCTGTTTCCCTCTTCAGCCCTACCTTCTGTTGCCTTTGGAGGAAGCTGGTGTTGAGTCATATATCTCTTGGATGAGAAAAACTCTTAAGGATGGTGCAAAGAAACAGACCCACCTCTGCCAAAGAACTATTATTAGTTTAACACTGATGGCATTTGAGAGAATTTCACGACACATCTTGGCTATGAAAGGCAGGTGACATCTGATGACTCCAGGGTTATGTGATGATGGAATACTAAACCTACCTGATTGTATTCAGGGAAAAATGGTATATTTGGCCATTGGAAAAAGAAGGTAGAATATATTTATGTGGTTCTTAAATCAATTGCTAAGAAAGGGGAAGGTCCTTTCATTCAAGTCAGTTATACATTTTCCTTTTCTCCTTAGGCCAAGTGTGAGAGAAAGAGAGAGGCTGAGAAGTCCAGGTGTCCTGAGGGCTCCTGCCTTTCTGAGGAACCATGGCACAGGATCACATGGATTCTTGGTCACTTTCTTTGAGAAAACAGGAACCCCTTCAGAAAGTTTGAATGAAGGCTATTTACTGATTAAAGGATTATTGGAAGATACCTCATCAATTCATGGGAGTTACAGGACACTCATTTCAGTCATTTGAAACGTATTTGTATTTCATGCACTGTGGACTAATCCCCTAACCTTCCCAGCCATCTTGGTATTAGCGTTCTTCCTGCAATCTGGAAGTTTTCTTTGCAGGCTTCTCTTTGGAGGAAGTTATTCTGTTGTGTTTTGTCTTTCCCTTTACTTTGTCCCCCTCCTTTCATTATTCCTTCCTCATCGTTTGCATGGTTTCCAGGACTCTGTGACTCGAGTGGGTTTTCTCTAGGTGACTCAGGCACCCATCCTGGGGATATGTTCCATGTTGGAGGTCTGTCAGTGAGCCAGTGGGAAGGTGGGCCCACCAAGAGGCTTCCCCCTTTCAGCTTCAACGGCTCTCCACTGTCTTTGGGCTATGGCCTCGGGCAGGGCTCCTTCACGCTCTTTTCCAGCTTCTCTCCTACTGGCCAACAGGGAGCCTCATTCATACATGGCCTCCTGCCGGGAGGTGTGACCTTTTACTCCCTATTATCAGACAGAAGCTGAACTCCTGGCTTTATCGGCTTGCCATTTTGTGTTTGGTTTGCTTCTGGTCCCTGAAGATTTATTTTTCCTATCATTGTGCCTAGAGTGCAGTGGGTATTGGAAAATGTGAACACATGGCATTATCTTTACCAGGAAAAGAGAGACCTGTTTCCCCTGAGCATAAGAAAAAAATTTCTAATTTAAATCCACCTGAAAGAAAGTAGACTGACTTGTGAGTACAATTCGTAAGGGGGAGACTGAGTGTTCATCTCTTGGAGGAGTTCTAAAGAGACTACCTTCTTTATAGGAGATGTTGGATTCCATTTCCACTGAGTTCCATTGTGTCTCTGAGGGTCTCTGGGTCTATGCAGGGCTGTTTGCATCTGTAGTCGGTGATCCCTGATTGCTGGGGTTGCTGAGATTTCATGTTTTGTCGTAGTTTATTAGAGGGGATCTACTTCTGTGTGCAGTTTGTGTTTTTAGCACAGGGCTAACAAAGGCATCAGAACTCTTTAGCATCTGACCTACACTTCAACAGCAAGCCTTGTTAATACCATCTGTAAAAACTAAGAATGTGTGGGGTCAGAATCTAAGGAGTCATCTAGGAGTGACTGGTCCAGTTTGAGGGGGTGGAGGGACTTCTGGATACTTCTTTAGATCTGGAGTTTTAGTTCATCGTATTGGGTGACCATGGTGGTATGCCTTTCTAGAAGGTAAATGCAATTTTAGGCTTCTTGATGCACGGGCAAGTTTTACATCCTGGGAAGAAATATTGTGGTGGAGAAAGGATGGAATCTTTAAATGGAATCAAGAGACCCGATATGATTCTGACACTGACACTCCTCGTTATTTAGTCTTGAGAAAATTTCATGACCTCTTTGCACCTAAGTTAATAAATATGCAAATTAACTGAATTTGATTGAGCAATTTCTAAGGTTTCTCCAGCACTCCAAAGATTCCAAAAGTACATACCACTGTCTCCAGCATGATCAGGCAATATCCAGAATGGGATTTAGGTCTTTATTTAAAGGCTCCCTGCACCAGAATGGCTAAGAGGTTAGCCTTGGTGTCTGGCATCCGTGACTTTGAATGCCGGCTGTACTGCATAAATGATAGGATATTAAGGAGGTCATTGAATCTTCCAAGTTTTGGCTTCCTTACTGATAAAATGGAGAGGAGAATTATTCCTACCTTACAGAATTGTTTTGAACCTTAATAATATAATTACAGAACTTTGCTCAGGGATCAGCACCTAGAAAGCAATGGTATATCCCTCTCTTTGTTCGTTATAAGCTCCTTGAGAGCAGCCATCTACCTTACTTATCTTAGCCCAGCTCATTCATCTTATTTCAGTTGCTTAGTTCTGTGTTTTATATGTAGTAGTGTTCAATAAATGTACTGTTAAAGTACAGTTTAAAAAAAGATTTTAAATAGGACTCATACAAATATAGAATAAATAAATGCATGTCAAATTTATTTAGCTATTTAATGAAGGAACCAGCAAGAGGATAAAGTTGATTTATTGGAGAAATAGAGGAAAAGGATTATGTAGTTTATACCAAAATAATTTTTCTATATTTGAGACATAATTGGTTTATCGCCTTATGGGGGAATAAAACCAAACCTTTAACATAACCTTCTATTGTCAACATTTGTATCTCCACAGGACAGAAATCTTCCTGTTAATCTGCAGTCATAAAGTTCTTAGGCCTGTGAAACACTACTTTAGTATGACATTGTGAGGATATGCAAGTTTCTTTTTGCTATTTCCAAGTTTGGGGTGATTATTCTAAATAGTCACAAGACCAAACCTAAAGTATTATTTATCTTAGAAAAAGATTAAGTGGGAATATGATTCTAGTATATAAGTATCTATTTTCTGCCTAAACTTATAATAAGTACTAGGACCATCCATAATTATGTTTTCTTAATGTTTCATTAAGAAGAATATAGGGATATTTAGGAAAATGCTACTAATTTCTACGATGATGCTTTGGAGGGTAACCACTTAATGAATGCTTACAGGGACTATATCAAGGGCTTTATATACATTTTAATTTAATCTGTAAACAATCTTGTGAGGTAGGCATTATCTCCATTTTGAAAATCAGGTAAATAAATCTCAGTGAGGTTAAATAAGATTATGTAGCCAATCTGAGCCAGAATTGAAATTCAGTCTGATTCTGAGTCTTGTATTGTCTCCAGTGCCTATGTTATAAACCTCCCTAAAAATTTTAAAGTGTTCTAAATTTTAAGGTAGATCTCAAGTTAAACATACAGATGAGTGGCTCTAGTTTTGCTTACATGACGGCAGACGCAAAATGGTCCTTCTCCCTACAAGAGACTTGCCATTTTGAAACTGCTTCAGATAAGTGGTCTGTTTCCTGGCCACGAGATTAAAACATATATGTTTTAAAGAAAAATCAAACCATTTCATTTGCTGTTTAAAGCTTTCTTCTCTCAGGTGGTCTTTGTCACTTATCTATCTTTCTTGTGTCTCTTCTGGCCCCCGAAATGTCTGTAGGTGGGCTGGATCCTTTCTATTCTGGATGAACTGCAGCTGAGCCCTCAGCCTCCCGTCGGGGTCCTTCCTCTGGGGACTGGGAACGATCTGGCTCGAACTCTCAACTGGGGAGGGGTAAGAACTGCTCTCAGGGGCTGCCCGGGCCATCAGGCAGAAGGAGCCACGAACCCACAGATGTTCTAATGGAAGGGCAATATGCTACTGTTGTCCAAAGAATAAGTTGGAATTGAGGATCAGGGTGCCCATGCATCACGATTTCATCTGGGACCTTTTTCAGTTTAAACTTAGAATTATCTAGAGAAGAAAGTGTGGTATAAAAATGGGGGTTACTATATAGGCCTGGGGCTTCTTGAGGTATCCATTGAGAGGCAGTTGGGTGGGTTGGCCTCAAGTCTTCATGTAAAGACCTGAATTGATCTTGACCCTTAGCCCCTGGCCAGAATAGCAAATCTGCTTCAGATCATAACCCTTACTTCGGGAGAGTTATGGCTTTTCTGGAGCATTTTGTTTTTCTGGTTGGTGGTCATCATGGCTTTGTTATACAGGTAGCCAGCTGTCCTTTCCACCAGAGAGCCAACTTTAGGCAAGCTTAGTGGAAGAAGTTTACCTGTCACTAACCAGCCATTTTATTAATTTTTTCTTACAGTGTTAAGATAGTAAGAAGGCACAATTTGCTAACATATGCGGCCCCACCAGCTTTTTATCTATTCATAGGAGAGATGGGGCTGGGCTCCATGAAAATTATCTTCAGCTGTTAGCAGATATTAATTTGACCTTTGTGTGAATTAACCTCCCTTGGGTGATAATTATCTTCGGATATTAGCAGATATTCATTCGGTATTGGGTGAATTAACCTCCTACAGGTCTTTTTTATTTTTTCAAGTGGGCATAGTAGAAATGATAATACATCTGTTGCTTCATGTAAATATGTTTATCACTGTTAACTCTTCTCATCCACATCAGTGACTTGACTATCCTTAATAATCATGCTGCCAATAACACATGCTCAAGGAGTAAGTGGTTGCCTAATAGGGCAGTGCCTCAGACACACTTGCCTTAGTAGTGTCCCTCTACAAGGTTAGGAGAGGTGAATGAGGTGGAAGGTTAATAGAAAAAGTTGTCTATCCTCTGCCACCATGATTCTTTTCCTCCTCTTCCATATACACTTGTTCTATGTATCTGTCAGATTCCTCTAGTAGGAGGCCTGGGGAGTCCTGTTTTCATTTTGACAGAAGCGACCCTCCAGCATGGCCCTCAAATGCCTACCAGTGACTGTTGGTTCTTGGTGCTGGCGAAAATTACTCCTCACCTCAAACCAGTTAGAGCAGTATTTCTATGCACAATACCTGGGACTGTTGTCTTAGATTCCAAGTACTGCAAGGAAACCAGTCTACTTGCCCAGCCTTGCTAATTGCAAAATGAGTAGAGAGCTATAGCAAAAGGGCTCTTGCTTGCATGAAATGCCTTTGGTTAATCTGTTCACTGCTCCAGGCAGCAATGCATATATTCTTTGATTCCTTAGGGCTACACTGATGAACCCGTCTCTAAGATCCTTTGCCAAGTGGAAGATGGGACAATTGTACAGCTAGATCGCTGGAACCTCCATGTGGAAAGAAACCCAGACTTGCCTCCAGAAGAACTTGAAGATGGCGTCTGTAAGGTGAGAGAGTTCTTTCTTCCGCAGAAGGGAAGCCTGGAGCATGTACCTGAGCCACAGGAAATACACTCCTGGCTGGAGAATCATATGCTGATTGCTTCCTATGAGATCACAGGATGATGTTTGAGTTCATGGCTACTAGGCCTACGAGTGTAACACTACTCCGTGATTCTGCCCCACAGACTTCCTACCTGCTTCCAGAACTCAGGGAGCTGTTCTTCCTCCTCAACTTCCACACCAGAAAGAATGTATTCATTTTCTAATCTTTCAAGCATTGCAAACTCATAACCCATGAGAAGGTGAAAAATACAAATGTTCTGAAGCATTAGGCATATGGTCTTTCAATGGAAAGATAAACTCCTGAGATTTGTAGTCTCCTACTAAATATCTCTTATGTGTAGAAAGTGACACTTAACTAAGTCAGTTTCATCACTGGGTTGGGACTTGAAGATGCCTAAATAAATATTTTGACTTAGTATTTTTCCTTCAGTGATTGAGCTTTCATTTCCACCCAAGACAAATCAAGAGACCAATTATACATACATTAGTGCAGAGCCTCAGCAGAACATTTGGTTCTAAGTTCTGATCTCAATTTCAGATAAATCTGACACATTGCCAAGTAGCCATTTCCTGCATATTACTTTCCATTTTTCTTCTGTGATAGTGTTTTCAAAGTTTTGCATGCATAAGAACATTCATGTGCAGATTATGGGGCCCAGTCCCCATTGATTCTGATCAAGTAAATGCAGGGTTAAGGCCCTGGATCTGTACTTTAAATGGCATTCTGGGGCGCCTGGGTGGCTCAGTTGTTGAGCGTCTGCTTTCGGCTCGGGACATGATCCCAGGGTCCTGGGATTGAGCCCCACATCGGGCTCCCTGCTCTACAGGAAGCCTACTTCTCCCTCTCCCTCTGCCCCTGCTTGTGTTCCCTCTCTCGCTGTGTCTTTCTCTCTCTGTGTCAAATAAATAAATAAAATCTTTTAAAAATAGGGACGCCTGGGTGGCTCAGTCGGTTAAGCGGCTGCCTTCAGCTCAGGTCATGGTCCCAGGGTCCTGGGACCGAGTTCCACATCGGGCTCCTTGCTTAGCGGGGAGCCTGCTTCTCCCTCTGCCTCTGCCTCTCCCCCTGCTTGTGCTCTGTCTCTCTCTGACAAATAAATAAAATCTTTAAAAAAAATCTTTTAAAAATAATAATAAAATAAATGGCATCCCTGCTTTATTGGATTATGCCATTGAGTGAGCCAACATTGTCATGGGCATTTTCACTTTAAAATAAATTGAACCAGATATCCTTCTAAACCAAACCAAAACCAGTTATTCATTAGCACCATGATCCTGACTGATTATGATAAACACTCAAGTTTATTATTTGGCTAAAATAGGTTAAAACATGTTTTATCTTGTCTTCACATTTTTTCCCCTAAACAATAATCTAGAAATCACAAGGTTTCTGTTAGATATCATGACTGCTCAGTAGATTTGCGTTTATAATGTCACAGTGTTGTTTGAAACCACAGGTATCATCTTGGGATATACTTCTTTCTGATGTGTTCAACCCACAGAAACTGGGTAGGATATAGTCAAAGTGAAAATAATTATACCATATGGAAATTTTAAGGTCCTTTCCCCACCAAACTTAGAATGCTTAGGCCCTCAGTAGAAATCTCTATTTAAATCTCTTCCCAACAGCTTAAGAAATGGAAAGACTCCTTGGTACAGCCAGGGAACATTAATCCAGATAATTAAAGGGCTTTGAAAAATTGGATTTTTGAGGAGATGTGTAGGAAATTGGGCAATTTTTCCTGGAAAATATGAATAAGAACTTAATAACAGACTAAATTGGGATATTATTTAGGGGATGGTGACCAGATGTTCTAAAGCTATCAGTGAATGCTAAGACATGGGTTAGAATTGTAGCCAAGAAAACATAAATGGTAGGGATGAACATATCTGTGCTTTTGGCAAGATCACCAAGCCTTGCTGTCATTACTAAGGCTTGGTATTTTGTTAAAGTGCAGGAACTGGACATTCTCAAATATGAAACCAGGAGAATGAGACATGATTTTGGCATTGTTCTGTGTTTAGTTTCTCTCCTGTTCTCCAGTCAGTTGTAAACATTTCTAAAGGGGGCTGATTTGACCTCTGAATTCATGATAAGCTCTGACTCAGGGCCTCCATGGAGGGTTCATTCTTTATTTCCATTGGAAACCAAGGCCATCCGTTTTCTTTTCTTCTGTATTAACATCTCTCTGTTACTCTCCCTCTCATTTCATTTCTCTCTTAATGGGATGAGGTCCTCACTCTAGTCAAACAAAATCTTACTAGTCAAGGCACATATGAAACCCTGTAATAAACTTACCTTTGAGATCTTGAGGGTTAAACACGTACTTCTAACAGAAGAGAAGTAGATTTCTGTCTGGAGGCTAAGCCTGATAATTATCTGGAAACATTATCCAAGCTGAGATGAAATTGCTTCTCTATTTAGTTTAACATTTACCTTCCAACCTGAGTTGCAGAAGGGAAAATGGAAGAGCCACAATTTCCTCTCTAGCATTTTCCATGTGCTTTTCTCATTGTTCTAACATTGAAGCCTTAAAAGCACATGAATTTTGCAGTTCTGATGAAGGATTTTAGGTTGCATAGTCCTCTCCTTTACTAAGCTTGCAGTGGTAACAGCCAGGGACCCAGAGGACTCTAGGAAGGCTTGTGTGTGTACCCGCATCTATGTCTACATATTTCATGGTCATATTAAAGATACAAGGTCTGATAGACTAAATCGAAATTTGAATAATACTGACAAATATGTATATACACATATATATTTTTTTCCCTTGTAGATCAGGGTCAGCCGAATGTTTCCCTCTGCCCTATTGCTCATGACTTACGTCAAAAATATATTTTAAAAAATGGAAGGGTAAACATATTAAATATTATTCATTTGGAGTTGCAGTATTAATATGCTGGACATAAATTCTCAAAAGGTATATTTACTGATTAGCTTACACATGATCCTTACATTCGAATTGACTTTCTAAGTTTGCTTAGTGAGTCATTCTTTGTAACTTTTGGGCATGTGCTTCCCTCAGCTTAATTGGGCTCTCTTGTTAATATCCACAGGAATAGTTCCCATTTAATAATTTGTATTTGCATCACTTGTTTCCTATACTACTCAAAATTCTTGGGAGTGTTATTTGATTTGAGCTTTCACTAATGAATTCAAAAATCCCCTGTTCCTTCTCTGCAAACACCTTCTGCCTCGGGCTGTGACTTATCTCTTTCCCAGGGACTGCCCGAGAGAAGGTGTCTGGTGTTAGGCTTCATTTTATTCTTTCTGCCTGGTTACGTACCACTTCACCTCTACTTTGTTCCTCATTGCAGCTTCCTCTGAATGTTTTCAATAATTACTTCAGCCTTGGATTTGATGCCCACGTCACACTGGAGTTCCATGAATCCAGAGGTGAGGACAACATCCCGTTCCCATCTCCCAGGGAGGAAGTTTACAGCAGGTGTTTTGCATGTTCCCTTCTGTTTGCATATCACTTAAGTATATTGACAGTGTGCATCAGTGTTGTTCATTTTAACTTTTGTGAAGACCCTGGGAGCTAGACAAGGTAGGAACTTGTTACAGATAGGACCCTGAGACCTGGTTGTTTAGGGTGTCAGAGATGTAAAGGATGACACCAGATGGATGTTCCAGGTCTCAGACTGCTAATTTATAAGTTTGACTAGAAACTTTGAGGTTAGTGAACTACTAGGAAGTGATAAAGTTTCTTTCATTTGAGTCATTAGGATATTTACAGCTTCTTGAACCACCGATTGTTAAAGTCCAGCACTTTATAAACCAGGGCCATTGAAATCTGGCAACAAAAACATACAAGTCCTCCCTGGGTGCAGAAAAGAGACAGCAGTCATCTTAGAACAGTAGGGGAGCTGATTGGTGGTTTAGGTGGAAAGAAAGGGTGGTGATTGGATTGGGGGTGGAGGTGCTGGGAATGCCCATCGGACAAGCTAGAGGGGTGAATGAGAGCCAATGTCATGTCAAGGGCCAAAAGAGATGGTGGCAAGATTGGGGAACAAAACCATTTTTGAAAGAGAAATAAGATGAAATAATGGCATGCAGTCATATACTTCATCACAACATTTCTTATGCCATTCAGAGCTGAGAAAGTTTAGGATCTGGGCTTAGGTTTTGAAGCCCCAGTCTTCTGTGTTCACGCTCACTCACCTGGTGTCTCTTCATCTCTCAAAATCTCTTATTAATGTAACTATATACATCTGTGTCTTTGCCTGTATCTACCTCTGTACCTAGTCTCTTGTGAATGTTAATATATAACCAAAATCATGCCAGGCAGTAGGTTAGTGAGTGTGTTGTGAGATAAAAGTCTGTACATGGAGGATTATTTTACGTCTTTTCCTCCAGATTCTTCAAAAGCATCAGTGGTTTTAACTCCTGGAATTTGAAGTAGAGACCTAAAAGAATTCAAATGTCCAGATTCTAGTAATAACACAGAGGAAATTCTGATAACACTTTTATGCACTAAAGGTCAAGAGTGGAGTAGTAGGATTAAGGGTGTTAGAATACAAAATATAAGTGAAGTCCAAACCTGTAATTCTCTTATTGAGATCAGCAATTTTGGTAGGCTTTGCCTTCCTGCTTTCATAAGGCTTTGAGGGTCAAATGCTGTGTCAAATAAAAGCAGTACTCAGCAAAATACCCTCCATCCTTCATCCATGTCGATGTAAATGGTATGTTGGCTAATTGAATTTAAATTAAATAATAAAATAAAAGTGATGCTGATCAAAGAGAAAGCCATAGTTTGACTTTTCCCTCTGAAAGGCTGGTTGATAACAGAACCACAAATATCAAATACCCAGATCAGAAACACCATCACCCTCCCATTTCACTGCCATGGACAGCTCTTAGAGGTAGATATTCAGGGAGTCCTACTTTAGAGCCCACATTTATAGTCTGTTGATCTTCCTATATTTTAGGAGACTTAATTTGGGGAAGTAAATGGAGATTACTTTCCTCATTTCGTAACCCATTTTTTCCCCTCATATTCTTCAGGAGACTCTGGCTCTGGGCTTCCTAATAAAATCCTTTAATTTCTTTTTTTTTTTTTTAAAGATTTTATTTATTTATTTGAGAGAGAGAGAGAATGAGAGATAGAGAGCACAAGAGGGAAGAGGGTCAGAGGGAGAAGCAGACTCCCTGCTGAGCAGGGAGCCTGATGTGGGACTTGATCCCGGGACTCCAGGATCATGACTTGAGCCAAAGGCAGTCGCTTAACCAACTGAGCCACCCAGGCGCCCAAAATCCTTTAGTTTATTAACAATACTTATAATTATCACCAATGCATGCATCATCCAAAATAGACATCCTGGCATGAAAAGAGGCCTAAATGAGTAAGTGGCAGACAATGAGCTCATTCAAGGGAGACTAATATTTTGTCTACTTAATCTGACAATCTCCTAATGATACATTTCCTTGTACTATGATGAAACTTTTGTGTCTCAGAGTGAAGGGAACACAGACAGACATCAAGGGGAAAGGCCAGGCTTAGGAGAGAATTCTTGAAGGAAAGTGATTTTTTTTTTTAAGTTGTGGGACTATTTCATTTGAAAAGGAATATGCAAACTGTGATATATATATATATATGTGTGTGTATATATATATATACACACACACATACATATACACACACATAGTATAATATATGTGTGATTATAAAACAATTGGTTAAAAGATGCAAAGCATTAGTCTTTGTATAGATTATTGTTGAGGCTTAGTGTAAGTGCTTTCAAGCAGTATGAAATGGAATTACAGACATTTGGCCTGCAGGTAAGCTAGAGCCCTTGAGGAAAACCAGCCACTGAAGAGCTGATAAGGGAAAACTGATGTTGACTGAGACTAATAGCTGCAATATTCATGAAGATGGTATTTCCAACATTCCAAAATGTTGGAAACAGATTTGGTTGATATGCCTATACCAGAGGTGTGGACTTCTTGGTACCTGTTAATCTATTCACTTTGCATTAATTTATGATGAAAAGTAAAATTACACAAGCTAATTTTCTTTTTTTCCTTTTACTATTTTCTGTTTATTTGGATTTTCCCCATATTTTTACCTGGATAATCAAGAAATCTCAAGCTCACCTGCAAAAGGAAAAGATAGTATGGCTACATTTTCAATAGGGGCAGACTTATTCCTTTTGGTATTAAGTGGCTATTCTCAAGCCAAGAACACTTCAAACTGTTCTCAAATGCAGACACTCACAGTTTGAGACATCATGACAAAACTTGTATCATTTGCCATGAAATACTTGGAGGGTGACCTCATGAGAGCCATTATAAAAAAAGCCCATGAGAGCCATTATAAAAAAATGAGCTTGTATAGAATAACCCCCTATTAGGTATTAATAAAAGATGTGTGTGTGTGTGTGTGTGTGTGTGTGTACTTGGGAATTAATCTATCTATATGAAGGGGGTAGTAAATACAAATCTCACTAAGGCAGAATCTTTAAAAATGTAATTGCAGAAGCAATTTTTGGCATAGATGTGAAATAGCCCATCAAATAGAGGGGACAATTAAAGACATTTGAGATAGTTTATTGGTGGTATTACTGTTTAAATGCTTTTAGAATTACCAGTAGAAAATCAAGCGAGGAGTAAAGATAGTCTTAACATTTTGATTGACTTTGTATAAAAAGAATGCAAACATTTGAATAATTTGGGTTTCTATATTTGATCAGAAAGTAGGTTTAGTTCATTTGATTAGAAAATAGAGATGCTTTCTTCTTATTAAAGTGGCCAAACCATGCATGGTTGAACTGTTGCTTCCATATCAGAAAGTGCAGTCTTTTGGAACAGGATTTGGAGACATAACAGAATTGGCGATTTAATTTTCAGCAGGAGTCTTGCCCAGAACTTTAATAATTATTGCATTATGACAGTGCTTGAGCAAGTACATTGAAAATATTCCCATCTAATAATGTATAGCCATGTTGACAATGATTATGGTTATCAGGTGGCAAAGTTAGGTCTCACTTTGCCAGCTATATGAATTAGATTGTCATTTTTTTGGACATGAACGATATTAAGCACCTCAAACATTTAGCCTGAGATTGGATGCTTAAATTTTACTGCCTCGCTGAAATTACTCACTCAGAGGAGTTGAACCTTACGCTATAAGGTCAGGGAAATACAATTATGATTCTTGAGGAAGCAGTATTTAAATTTGATTTAAAATTTACTATTTTCACTGAATATACAGAGACATGCAGATCATATTTCCAAGGATTATGAATGTTTCATGATTCATATGGAGAATGATCAGATTTCTTTAAAAAGATGTTTCAGTGGCTTGCTAAATTTCATCATCACCATCACTGCAAAGGACACACTGTCAGTCTTAGGTCTAGGTACTGAGACTCAAACATTTGAGAAACTCTCACGGTCCAAGGTTCTCTATCTATAAACTTTTTTTCCATTTTGAACCTCTGCATGGCACCTACCCTTCATTCAAGATTTAAGGGTACCTGCCTCTGGAACACTTTTGATCATTCCCTTTATGTGTGACTCTCACTTCATCTGATATAGGCATCTTTGTATGGCATATACAAAAGGATGTTATACTTTGATTTTCAAATTTATCTCCACTCTAAACTCATGCAGGCAAAAGACTGTATCTTCTTATATTCCCTTTGCCAAGTCCATGGCTATCTCAATAAGTGTTAGTTACAGTAATGGAGAGTGTAATCAGAGGATAGGCCCCATATATAATATAAAAGGTAACAATAGAAAGGAATATATAGTAAGGCTAAGATTAGTTGTATAGGCAGTAAATAATATAGGAATTTGGCAGGGAAAATCTATCAGGGGAAATTTTCCAGAAAGGGTAAGAGGGAGCTGAGAGATAAAGGAGGAGTGTGAAATATGTAGAAAAGAAGTAAAGTGGGTGAGGGCATTTCAGACAGCAAAGTATAGAGGGACAAATGAGCTTGTGATAAAGATGGGATGACCAATTAATACATAATGAAAGAGTTTTGCAATGGTGTTAGAAAAATGGATAATGTTTGTAAAGCTATTTGTCCTTAATAGGAGATGATGTTGGAAGATAAGATTTTTTTTGGATATATACAATTTGAATCGAAGGTGGCATTGTTACTGTAGGCATACATTTTGGGATTGTTTATGTATATATAACTGAAGTCTTAAGATTAGGTACATACCTAATGCAGAGGAATGTGGAAAATGTGAGTTTTGTGCAGTTCATATTGCTTATTGATTTTTATAAACATAGAGTTGAACTTGTATTTATGAATATCTCTTCTAATATGCCAGACCAATGACAGACAAAAGTAGAGTTTAGGGTCCTATTCTGATGGCACAGATGTTATTGTGTCGTACATAAAAATAGGATTAATATATTAACTCAGTGGAATGGAAGTTATCCA